GTAGCATTAGCAGAGTTAGCAGGATTAGTAGCATTAGCAACATTAGCAGAGTCAGTAGCATTAGCAGAGTTAGCAGGATTAGTAGCGATAGCAGCATTAGCAAAGTTAATAGCATTAATAACTTTAGCAGAGTTAGTAGCATTAGCAGCATTAGCAGTGTTAGCAGCATTAGCAGTGTTAACAGTGTTAGTAGTATTAGCAGCATTAGCAGAGTCAGCAGCATTAGCAAAGTTAACAGTTTAGTAATGTTAACAGCGTTAGTAGCATGAGCAGCATTAGCAGTGTTAGCACTGCTAGCAGAGTTTGCGGCATTAGCAGTGTTAACGCCATTAGTAAAGTTCTCAGCAATAGCTGAGTTTAGGGAAACTTTAGGAAAAATCAGCAAATGTAAGAACAGTGAGCTTAAATGACAATAAAATGTTTGAAATTTTTCACTTTGATTTTACACTCAGRMAGYGAGCTAAATAATAAAAATGGGTTAGTGACATTATTAATTGTGTAGTTTCCTGATCAGCATGAGTGAAACGTCATGTCTTGGTTTTAGTTGATTTAGACTCATTCAGGAAAAAATACTTAATACTTCTGCTGAAATCCTTGAAGATGTCAGAGACCTGCTGATGCAGATGTGCAGCTCGGACATCACATGAAAAGAAAACACCAACTCAAGTTATTTTCATCTTTATTACAGAGGCTTTATTGTGCCGACTGCTCCTCTGCCCTGAACCAAGCCGGGTCCTCACCTCACTGCCCCGCGTCAAAAGCTTGAATAGTCCCTTTAATTTGGGGCGGTTCTGGAACCCCATTGTTTGGCCTCGGTTCCCTGAGAGGAGAACCACCGAGCCACCCAGTCAGGTGCTTATCTGATGCAACGGACCATTGATCACCTCTTACCCACGCCATGAATCAGGTCCCTGTTGAGCAGAGAATCGTCCACTCAGTAACCTGAAGCTGACCGCAGAGACCCCTCCTTCATGTCCGCTGGACCCCGACTTRTTGCTGAGCTCCTGTTTCAGCTTCAGCGTCTGCAGCGACTCGCTAACTGCAGTGTCAGTTGATGTTGCAGCCATTCTTGACTCCAAACGTTAACGTAGCTGCACTAAAGCAACAGATGCATAATCTCACCTTAAGCCCAGAGAACAAAACAATGACATTTTCCTCTAAATAAACTCGATTTTTTTAAAACATCCTGTTTATTCAAACCTGCCAGCAGCTCCAAACCAAACACCCTTATCCTGCTTTTTAATACTTGATAAATGACTCCTCGTGCGGGTCGTAAATATTTACCCACCGCACAAATCCAAACTCCATTAGAGAAATAAATATAAGCATATCCCCCAGTGGGCGGGGCTTATTGTGAAGTAAAACAATGCGATTGTTAAAGAGAGCTCGTCTGAGTCGCAGCAGATGCTCCAGGAGCTCCTCGAAGCCTCGTTGTGTTTCTGACAACAGCTTGGCTCTTTCCTCTCAAACACTCAGCACGCGGTGGTCCGAACACACACACACACACACACACACACACACACACACACACACACACACACACACACACACNCACACACACACACACACACACACACACACACACACACACACACACACAGTTTGTAATTTGTCCCAGCTGAGTCAGAATCAACTGACGTGTTTGGGGAACGTGGCAAACATTCTGAGGGGTGGAGGTGATGGACACACTGGTTTGTCTGCTGGCGTCATGATCTTCTCATGCCAGAGGAGAGTCAAGAAGAGGAAGAGCAAAGGACTGAGGGACATTTTTTTCTCCGTTTGTTTGTAAATTTTACAAATACTAAGCTACAATCTGATGTAGTAGCTAAAGCTGATCCTTGACATGTCCTGAGCGATATCGGCACACAACTTGTTCCACAATGTTTGTACTGTTTAATCAGTTCTTATATCAAAATTTTCAGCTCATTTAGGCCATGAATACTTCGACTTTTGTTACATCAGTAATTCATATTTTTTCAGCGTTTTAGCTTTTTCTGACACTTTTTTCTTATTGAGAATTAAAGGAGCTGTCTTTAACATCTTTAATGTTCTTTAAAACCCTTATAAACCTTTATTGTACCTTTTACCTTTTGCTTGATCTTTGTGCTAATTTAAACTTCCTTCACCTTCTGGTTTTGCTAATTTTAGCTTCTTCGGCTACTTTAATTTTTACTGTTTTATGTTAATTATGACCCCTGCATGTGAAGCGGGGGTCAGATCAAGCTGTTTTTTTATGTTTGTTTGTTTGTTTTTAGATACTGTTTTAATGAGTCCGACCTACACTGCACCAGCAAATTGTTTTATGATAGACCCCATATTTGAGGAGGGGGCTCCATCTGAAAAGGGGCTGTCTGGACATACAAAAATGCTTATAACTCAGAAACTATTCAACATATGAGCTTCAGATTTTGTTGTTGTTTAGTTCTGATAAAGGACTATCCATCAGATAGATAAGGTGATGTTTGTGATCATGTTTTAATGAAAGAAAATGACCACACGACCACATGATCTTGTACAAGGTTATGGAATAATTACATGTAATACCCACTGAATACATGTACATGTACATGTACATGTACATGTACATTACATGTAATGTTAGTTGGTTGGATTGACTTAACCCTTGGTTATGATCCAATCAAAAATGAGATATTTTTGTTTCCACGTTAGGACATGAAAGGGTTAATTATTTTAAAAATGCCTTGGCATGCGTGTAAACCAGTGGTTCCCAAACGTTTTGTCTTCTGACCCACAAAATATCCATGGCAAAAGCTTGTGACCCCAAATATTACTGGTCTGAGTACACGAACTTCGTTAATAACCCTAAAAACACAGGATTTTTGACAATATAAACAGCTTATACACAAATATAAATACTTATTTTTACTTATTTTGGG